ATACATAGGTTATCATTAGAGATGAGCGAATCGAACTTGGCGAAGTGGAATTCGTTTCGAATATTAGGAAAAATTCGATTCGCATCGATGCACGAATCGAATTTTCCCCGATCAGCCGGCAAAAGTGTCACTGCAGAGAGCTCCGCTATTTCTGACAGTTCTCTGACAGTTCTGACAGTTCATTTACAGCGGTTGAAACATTGTATCTATTTGTTTCCATTTAGGATACAGATGTTTTTATTCGGAAATAAATAGATACAATGTTTCAACCGCTGTAAATGAACTGTCAGAACTGTCAGAGAACTGTCAGAAATAGCGGAGCTCTCTGCAGATACACTTTTTGCTGTACTGGAATTCTTCTTCTTTTCATTCTTCTTCTTCTTTTCATTCTTCTTCTTCTTCTTCTTCTTTTCATTCTTCTTTTCATTCTTCTTCTTCTTCTTTTCATTCTTCTTCTTCTTCTTTTCATTTTCTTCTTCTTCTTTTCATTCTTCTTCTTCTTTTCATTCTTCTTTTCTTTTCTTCTTCTTTTCTTCTTTTCATCTTCTTTCATTTTCATTCTTCTTTTCATTCTTCTTCTTCTTCTTTTCATTCTTCTTCTTCTTCTTTTCATTCTTCTTTTCATTCTTCTTCTTCTTTTCATTCTTCTTCTTCTTCTCATTCTTCTTCTTTCATTCTTCTTTTAATTCTTCTTTTCATTCTTCTTCTCATTCTTCTTTTCATTCTTCTTCTGCTTCTTTTCATTCTTCTTCTTCTTCTTTTCATTCTTCTTTTCATTCTTCTTCTTCTTCTTTTCATTCTTCTTTTCATTCTTCTTCTTCTTCTTTTCATTCTTCTTCTTCTTCTTTTCATTCTTCTTTTCATTCTTCTTCTTCTTTTCATTCTTCTTCTTCTTCTTTTCATTCTTCTTTTCATTCTTCTTCTTCTTCTTTTCATTCTTCTTCTTCTTCTTTTCATTCTTCTTTTCATTCTTCTCATTCTTCTTTTCATTCTTCTTTTCTTCTTCTTCTAATTCTTCTTTTCATTCTTCTTCTTCTTTTCATTCTTCTTCTTCATTCTTTCATTCTTCTTTTCTTCTTCTTTTCATTCTTCTTTTTATTCTTCTTCTTCTTCTTTTCATTCTTCTTCTTCTTCTTTTCATTCTTCTTTTCATTTTCATTCTTCTTTTTTTCATTCTTCTTCTTCTTTTCATTCTTCTTCTTCATTCTTCTTTTCATTCTTCTTCTTTTCTATTCTTCTTCTTCTTCTTTTCATTCTTCTTTTCATTCTTCTTCTTCTTTTCATTCTTCTTCTTCTTTTCATTCTTCTTTTCATTCTTCTTCTTCTTCTTTTCATTCTTCTTCTTCTTCTTCTTTTCATTCTTCTTTTCATTCTTCTTCTCATTCTTCTTCTTTTAATTCTTCTTTTCATTCTTCTTCTTCTTCTTCTTTTAATTCTTCTTTTCATTCTTCTTCTCATTCTTCTTTTCATTCTTCTTCTTCTTTTCATTCTTCTTCTTCTTCTTTTCATTCTTCTTCTTCTTTTCTTTTCATTCTTCTTTTCATTCTTCTTCTTCTTCTTTTCATTCTTCTTCTTCTTCTTTTCATTCTTCTTTTCATTCTTCTTCTTCTTCTTTTCATTCTTCTCATTCTTCTTTTCATTCTTCTTCTTTTCATTCTTCTTCTCATTCTTCTTTTCATTCTTCTTCTTCTTTTCATTCTTTCTTCTTCTTTTCATTCTTCTTCTTCTTTTTTCTTCTTTTTCATTCTTCTTCTTCTTCTTTTCATTCTTCTTCTTTTCATTCTTCTTTTCATTCTTCTTCTTCTTCTTTTCATTCTTCTTCTTCTTCTTTTCATTCTTCTTTTCATTCTTCTTCTTCTTCTTCGTCGTGCCCCGTGACTGCCCAAATGAGTGAAGTGTGCGGTGATTCTAAGATCGACGGCACTCATCTGCATGTCATACTGACTGACAGTATTATTTCTCTTCCCCAGCAGACTCCAAGGGCATTTAAATTAAAGGTACAGTGTTCTGCACTAATATAAAGGCTCTCTGAAGCCTAGAAACCCTTTAAATAAGTTAAATTCGCGGCGAATAAATTCGCATCGAATCGAATTTCTCCCGCAAATTCGGCAAATCAGCCGAATCAAATTTTTGAATAATTCGCTCATCTCTAGTTATCATTGCTGACTTTAAACAAATTACCTGAAAATACTATTCCCTGACTTTCTCTGACCTCAGTACTTTTTCACTGATCTGAAACAAGCATATAGTTAGTCAGAAAGTCAGAACCCCTGATATGCATACTTGTTTTAGTTCTGTGTCTGAAACAAGTATAGAAAGTAGTGCAGCCTTTGCATCAACATGACAGCAAGGCAATGAAGTTCAGGAATAGCAGAGTATGTATTTTCTCAGAGCAGCTTTACTATGATAAAAAAAAATAATAATGGTTTTGGTGCAGCAACAACAAACACTGTAAATTTTTTTCTGTCTAGGTCATGAATGTCTTTAAAAGCCCCAAAATAGCAACCAATATAGAATGGGGGAGAATGTGGCTGGCCTCTGCCTAAAGCTACTGCACATGCTTAGAGCCTTCCCCCTCTTTGCTATAGTGACTGTCTTAGTTTTTATTCTTTATTTTTTTGATAAATCTTGCATAAATAATTGACCAAGAATGTGTAACAGATCAAGTGTTCACAAAGTTTACTTTGTGTCAAAATGTGGGAAGTATTTGAACATTTTAGTTTACGGGGTTACAGTGACATGTTTTTTTAAACAGGAATCCACTTTTTTTTACCAGATAATCAGATTTATAACTAAAGCCTGGCAGCAATCTGAATTTCCCTTTTTACAAGACTGTATTCAGGACCTTTCCTTCTTACCAATCCATTATGTATGACTCCAGCTGGCTCAAAAATAAACATTTAAATACATTCCTTAATAATTTAGGGCTTTTTGTCAATGGAAGTTCCATGGGATGTCCATTTCTGCTAAAAAATATTCATGTTTTATAAAATTATAAGGCGTTCAGCTTTCTGCGGTAAATTTGGCGCTGTGTCAATATGGCCCTCTTCCTTGATTCTATCCTAATGCAAAGCACAGAAACACACATTTCATATTAACATATTACTTATAATGTTGTAATTTTGATTTGTGTACTTGCCATTTCTTTTTGAGTCATATAATACATTTTAAGCTAACTTAAGCTGATCTGTTGCAACCTTATTGAATATAAACTTCTGATGCACATTTATGTTGTGAAATGTATTTATTATAAAGGATGTGTATTTGAAAATAGTTGTAGGTTCCCCTATTGGCAGCCCATACAAGGCATAGGAAAATGCCTGTGGCCATCATGTGCAGCAGCTCCTTTGAGGTAGAACAATGCAGCCAATGACAGGCAGGTGTTACCTGATTCTTCCACTATGCCTGTGCTACTATTCTACAACAAGACAGCTTGGGATGAGCCAGAAATGAAACCAGTAAAAGGTATAGCTTAATAGCATTTTTAGGCTTTCAGTTTTACATTTGTATTGGACATTATGGTGACAATTTACTAAATCTGGTGCAGTTGTACATAGTAACCAATCACCTTCTAAAGGGGAAATTCCACTTGTTTGTATCCCCTCCCCCCTCCATTGCCACATTTGGCACTTTTTGGGGGGGAGTGGGTACCTGATTTTGACATGTACCCACTTCCTCTTCCAGTTAGATGTGCCGCAGCGATCTGAGATGGAAGTCCAGCCCCCCTCCTTCCCCCGCAGTCTTCTGGGACACTTCACAGGTCCCAGAAGAGTGCAGGACCATTCACAAAGTGCAAAGCGTTTCCTGCACGTGCAGTAGGAAACCGGCTGTAAAGCCACAAGGCTTCACTGCCTGTTTCCCTTATTTAAGATGCTGTCACCTGCACCCAAAGCCAAGGGAAGAGTCAGCATGGGTGAAGACATCGCTGGATCCCTGTACAGGTTAGCATCCGTATATTAAAAGTCAGCAGCTACAGTCGTTTTTTAGCTGCTGACTTTTAATTCTTTGAGGAAAGCCTGGAGCTCTGCTTTAACTGAACAAGCTGAAGTTGGAATCTGATTGGTTACTATGCACAGCTGTATTCTGTGTGCACCAGTTTTAATGACTCTTCCCCTGTGTTTCATTACAGTAACAGAGATAGTTGCAGTATTTGGTCTTCAGGGTCCTCCAATAATACATGTTTTTTAGTTTTGCTTATCAGAGCCAGCAGTTGTTTATTTAGAAGTTTATTTAATACTGTACTATTGTGTCTCCTTCTGTGCAGTAGGCAAAGTTTACTCTTATAACAATATGAATTAAAGCTGATATTACCACAGCAGTCTCGATTATACTGCACATTTTTGATCTTTAAGAGTGGCACGGTGGCTTTTATATAGCATATAATATGAAGTGAGAGTAGGAAGTATAGGAAATATGTTTACTGTATCTGTTACAGTGGCTAAATGGTTAGCACTTCCACCTGGCAGTACTAGGGTCATTGGTTCAAATCCCAACCATGGCACCACCTGCCTGGATTTTGCATGTTCTTCCTGTGCCTGTGTGGGTTTCCTCTAGGTACTCGTTTCCTTCCAACTCCAAAGACATGCTGGCAGGTTAATTTTCTCCTGTCTAAATTGGCCCTAATATGTGTATGTATGAATGTAAGTTAGGGACCTTAGATTGTACACCCCAGTTGTACAGTTAGGAACTGATGTGAATGTACAATATATACTGTATGTAAAGTGCTGTTTAAATTGATGGCTCTGTTTAAGTATCTGTAATAAATAAATAAAAAAATAGGATGGTGCCACTGCCAAATACACTAGGTGTTCATTGCTGATGAGGGCTAAGCTCCTTACAAGGAAAATTGTGGTTAATTAATGGCAAATTCTATAATATCTCAAACCTGTAGTTCAAAATAAGATTTGCAAATGTTAATAATCAGTAATACATTTATGAGTCAAAACCATATCCCAAATTCTCTTTCTTGTCAGTTAGCACCAGGGGCGGACTGACAACTCTGGGGCCCCCGGGCAATAGGGGATCATGGGGCCCCTGTGTCCTTGCCCAAACTCAAAAAAGCCTATGAAAAAGGTACCAGAGGCATTGCATGGGGCCCCCTACTGACCCCTGGGCCCTCGGGCAGTGCCCAAGTTTCCAAATGGTCAGTCCGCCCCTGGTTAGCACTTAGTGAACAAGTCGTCCCTCAGGAGGTATGTTTGCTAAAAGGACAACTTCACTCTAATGAAGTGTAGTGAAGTTATTTTTTTATTGCTTCCTTCCATCCCATTCAGTGCAAACCAGACAAGATGATCTTTACATATGCTAAAGATGCAAGGCAATGGCTAGAACATTTTTTGTACAAAAGATGTGCAGGGCCATATAGTGAAGTTGTGTGGAGCATGGGTGAAGGTACACAACCCTGGAGGGTTAGGGGGTAGGGGTGCTAATGATCAACATTCTTACCCACTATCGATAACATTACCATGACAAGTTTAACAAACCCTGCTATTATATGTTGACACTTTTCAAAGTATTCAGGATCTGTTAAGACCTTTTTAAGCGTCACTGAATTTGGCTGTCAGTCCCTTACATAGGTTACTAATTAGGGCAGCTACCTTACCTGGTAGTGAGTAAAACGCGCACTATTAGATGAGCGTCATTGTGCTAATTTAGTATGCTTGCCACAGGCAACATTGTAAACCTGGGATTGTACAGCATACTATTTTCATGAATTCTAGAACTACAAAGATATGTAAAGTACACACTTAAAACAGAGATACATATTTCATTAACTGTGCTTCCCCTGGAAATGAAATTTAATGCTGCAGAATGTATCTGAATGTCTAATGAAGAGGGAAGGGCATAGGGAGGTCAAGGAACTTCAATATTCTCTGATTAAGTATGACTATAAGTGCTCTAATAAGACAGCATACTAACTTCAGAATTTAAGCCCTAGTGAGGGTTTCCCACTTCCTTGAACAAGCCAATTAAAAATGTAAGAAAAAAATTAGGTTTATGATTCTCCTATGTAAAAGCTGGTACTATCAAGATGTCCATACCATGAGTCTGGCCATTTTGGGATGGAAGATAGCAGATATACTGCCTGACTGCCAAATTTAAATGAATTAAATAGCTGAGGACTAGAATATACAAAAAAATGCTTACACCTTTAGGCTAGGTTCACACTGCTGCAGTTCGGTTTTGATCCAACTTTCAGTGTGATCATGTAGTGTAACTTGGATGTTACTTTGAAGTGGTTTGCATATTCTTTGGGGGCAAAATCGTGCTGGAATCCCACCAAAGTTGTACAGAAACCTTTTCAAAAATTTTACAATGCAGAGTATGCATCAATGTGAATGGCACCATTGAAAACAATGTGATTTTCATTGCCATGCGACTTTGTGTAACTCAAGTTACATCTGAAATCGCACTAGTGTGGACAGAGTCTAAAGTGCTCATACGCTTGTCAGTTATTGACAATCCTAGACTTCTTTATAAGATATATGGGATGAAGTCAATTAACCCACCTGATTAAGTTTTGCTTGGACAATCAAGCGGTGTTATGAGAAATCAGTTTGATGCAGGGGCAGACTGACAACTCATGGGGCCCCTGGGCAATAGGGGATCATGGGGCCCCTGTGTCCTTGCCCAAACTCAAAAAAGCCTATGAAAAAAGGTACCAGGGACATCTCATGGGGCCCCCTACTGACCCCGGGCCCTCGGGCATTGCCCGAGTTTTCAAATGGTCAGTCCGCCCCTGGTTTGATGGTTGACTAAATCTGCTTCTGTATGTGGTTACCACACAATCATCCAGATTTTTACACCCGTGCTTAGGTTTAAACTTCATTATTTTCAATACATTTACAACTGGGTTAAACTATGTTTTTATGTCTGTCTTGAGTTTAGTTTTACACAGCAAACAGGAGGTAAAGGAAAATATATAAGACATTTCTGCTTTGAAGTCCACAAGTGCACAAAGGAAAATATTATTGCTTTTAAATAGATAGTATAGCTATAAATGAACATCAAATCATTTACTGAGATTTTTTAACAGAAGGTATGCCAAGTTATTAAGGTATCCTACATGCTCGGTGATGTTACTTGCTTTGGGAATAACTCCTCGTAAATCTAGGTCATGTTTTCTGATTGACTTGCTCTGTTACTAATTGGATGCAGATGTCTGGCAACAGTGACTATATCTAATATGCTGAATGACTGCTCTCTCCCCTGCCTTGTTTTCATTTATTTGTCATCTTTTTTGTGGGGAGTCTTACAAAACACAGACAGCTCAGGAGTATGAAATACAGATATAACACAAATGTCTAGTTTAGTTGGGTAGCTAAAATATAAATCTATCCTATCTATCTATCTATCTATCTATCTATCTATCTATCTATCTATCTATCTATCTATCTATCTATCTATCTATCTATCTATCTTTCTACTTTTTCTAATAAAAAAGTGTTTGATATGAAGGGTGTGTGTATACTACAGGGCTTAGCAGCTAGGGTTCCCTTGGCAGCAGCTGGAAATACTGTAAATGCAAAGTGCTTCTTTGGACCTTTGTTATGGCTGTTATGGCAATTTCTTCAGTGGAAACACGTTATATATTTATATATATGTAAAAATAAATGAGTATCTACAAGTTGGCCATTAATAAAGAAGAAGAATTTGTCTCATGGGGATGTTATTATTTTCACTATATTCAACAACAGCATGACTGAGATTGCTCACCTTCAAAAGGACAGGAACAGGAACAGGAACAGGAAAATTTAGATTTACCCACCAGTTTTTCTCATTTTAAATTTTTTTTCTGCAAAATGGTAGACAGCGTCAGGAAGAATTCTTTAATGGCTGAGAGGCCAGAATGTTTTTAAAGTTACAGTCCAGTAAAAAGCTAATGTCCATTTTTTTGTTTGCTTTTATTGTACTACTTTGTAGGTCCAGAAATTATATATAATCAGAAAGTCTGGGAATAGTATGGTGAGAGCTGGAAACCAATGACAGAGCTTGTCTTTTCTTTAAGTAATGGGGTTGTAAATCACTTGCCAAGTGATCCTTTCCCTATACATCAATAAGTGTATAGATTATCAGGTTCTAGATGTGCTTGCATTTTCTAGCTGTGTGTTAATTTAAAGTTAAAGGACAATTTCAGTAGTTGATTAAGTAATGTAAAAGTCTCCAACTCCCCTCCCTAAGCTCCTACATACATTAAATTGAACCATCCCTCCAACAGCACTGGCTTCCCAAAGGTAGTGTTGGGCTGCCATTGTCCTCTCCTGATTAATGTGCAGTAGACCTGAATGGGCTCCTGCTATGCATTCTTTTACAAAACAGTTGGATATTATTTAGCATTTGTATGCACTAAGCATAAATTGCAGAATTGGCAATGCTGCAACTCATTATTCTATAGATCCTCTGCTCTCAGAAAATGTATACGTTAAAGCTTTTATCAAATGAAAAAAATGCTGTGGTCAAATAATAAACTATTACTTCCTTGCACATTATACATAAGCCCTGTGTCTGTGGCATATTATACAGCACAAAATCTTTTTTTCTACTGCCAGTCACATTTAAATATGACATAAAGCACAAATAGTACTCACAAAAGTTAAATCTTTAGTTAAATAAAATGTATGTAAAATGATTTACTTCTTTCATACATGTATTTTGTATATTGTCCGTTCCTTCAGATGTACAGCTACAGTAAAGCATATAAGGGACAGAGACAGGGAATCCAAACTTGTGGCTTGGGAGCCAATCAAGGTCTCTGGCTTCGCTTGATGTTGCTACAAAGCCTTAGTTTGGGGATCCCCATTGCACGTTATATGCTAATGAACAGCAGCAAGACCATACAAGATATAATACTGTCACATCCAGTAGCTGACAGCTTCTCAGTCAATGTCACATGTAGCTTTGAAGGTACTTCTGGCAGGTGCTGTTGGTACTTGATAAAGAATTCAGAATAACAGTTCAAATAATACATTTACACAAAATCCCCTCCTGTAGCTATATATTTATTATAGGAAAGCAATTGATTTAATCAATAATTCAGAATTTTCTGTAGGATACTTACTGCACCACTCAGTCCTCCTTACTCACCAAAGCATACATTTGGCTTGCTCAAAATGAGCTTTAAGCTCATTTGCTATGTTGGCATTCAATTCTATTAAAGGGCATTGATTTCACAAAAGGAGGTGGCCAATGATATTGAACCCATTTCTTGTTCTTATTTCTATGAATATGCCCCTGAGCGCATTTTCAGTCTATAGTTTTAGTGGTATATTAATTTTGCATTCTACACCTGTATATACACATGATATATATTATATCCAGACCCACAGATTATTGTACCATTATATCTTATCATTTCTTTTCCTATTCCATCAAGGAGACTGCTGGCCAGAAGCATTATTCACTGAGCTGGCAACAGTGCAAAGGAAATTCATCAGCTGCCTACCAGTTAGCGTGTTAACAAGACAACTGGTGAGCACAGCTGGATTCATAGAGTGGCTCCAGCCTTTCTATTTACTAGCAATGTGCAGCATGAATTAGATTCTGTCTATAACACCAGTTTATGTGGAAAAAGTCTGCAGCAATGTGATCTATAGAGATGGGCTTTTGGCTAAATAATACTTCAAAGCTAAAGCTGAACATAACAAAATTTTAAGTAACACAACATTTTAAAGCAGATATATTATATTAATGAAAGTTACAGATTTAATATTGAAATTGCATTAATGTGTTAAACCTTTTTATAAGATTTACATTTACTTTAATTTCCAGAAAAATATTTGTTTAAGAGATCATCACCACATAGTCATTGTAATCAGCATCAATGCATATGTTAAGCCCAAACAATGTTTTGGCTACAGTAGGGAAGGGTTAAAACCCCTTTCAGTCCTGGTTTATTTTTCCCACTGTTCTGATTAATATTACTTACGTTTCCTGCCCTGCCGTACGTTAGTACTCTTTCTTTACCTCCCCGAGTAGGTTGGGTTCTTTGTCTGGAGTTGACATGTGTGCTTCATTTTGTTCCAAAATGAAATTTGGATAAAATTTGCATTATTCGGAGATTTGGATGTATCAGAATTTCCAAATAACAATAGAAATGAATTTAAATTAATCCAAAATAACAAAACAAAAATTAGTCTGAAACAAAATTATCGTTCAAAATTTAAATCAGATTCCAAAACTAAATTGATTTAAACTCACCACATCACCTCTAATTAAGAGGCAAGAAAATAAAGGACAGCAACTGAACCATAAATCATGACTTGGTGGACCTTAAAATCCCTTCTCAACTTATATTCCAAGAACCGATGATTGCTTAAAGAATAAAATAAAAAATATATTCGTACATGTATATAGCATGCAGTAATCTCAATATTCTAATAATTGGTATCAAACACCTATTTTAAAGCTATAACAGAATTAGACGCCTATATTATATAGCGAATTATATCCTTACTTTTTCAGTATCTTGTATTAAATGTCACTAGACACTCAAACATTTCTATTCAGCTTCATTTTTCTGGGAACCTATAGAACAATATATGTATACTTATTGAATAGATCAGATTGATATCCACAAAATCACATTTGCAGCACATTTGTATAAGAAAGTGATCATGGTTGCTTATAAACCCATAAGACTGCCAAGGTTTTAGTGAGCCTCAGAGGGTTAATATCTAGGGGGATAGTAATATTATATATTATTTTCCTTTTCTTTACCCTTACTCCTCCCAGCAACACAAAAATGGCCCGCAAGATATACCAGTGGTGCTTACATATAGTCCTCACTTTTCCTACACCTCCCCTTCAAGCAAGTTAAATATATTGATACAATTTCCACTGACCTATAATAACACATATAAATATGCCATTCACTCAAAGTTTACAAGGTCAAAGTTTCTTATTATCTCCCTTCCATATTGCAATCCCACATAGTCACCTGTCATGCTCAGTTCCAATCCACAGAGCGTCCACCAGTCTCTCCCTATTGCTATGTTTATGCCCTTACATTTTCTAAAATGGCGCCTGTTTGTTTGTAAGACTCCACCGGCCCATCAATAGGTGATGGCGTCACCGCGTCATGCAGCCTCCACCGCACGTGCACACCACACAACCATCTCTGCTCATGCTCACCATACCGCCATTCACCCACAGCCAGAGGTCCTTGCAGGGTGGTAACCAATCACAGAATTTGTACCAACTGCATCATCTGTATCCAACAGAATAACATCTCAAAGCAGCAACCAATCAAAGAACTACATCAACCAGTGTCACTAGTAACTGATGAGACTGCCATCACTATCACAATACTAATAGGCGCTAATGTGTCAAACTGGGATCACGTACATTTACTACACATATATACACTATAATTGGCTTTGCAGCCTTCCTGGCTGCCTCCTCCTTATCTCCATCACCTTGGGATCAGGAGATATCTACTCCTATCCCAGCTAGACTACATAACGGAGGCATCAAACTGGGATATGGACAGAATAGAAGAGGATAGAAAATAAAACACTTAAATAAAATAGATTAAAAAAGAATGAAATACAAAAGAATAGAATAGATTATAATAGAATAGAAAGAAAAATATAGAATAGGAAAGAATAAAGCAGAAAAGAATAGAATGGAATATAAAATAAGAGAACAGAATAAAATAGAATAGAAAATAAAGAAATAGAATAGAAAAGAATAGAATAGACTAAAGGAAAAAAATTATTAGAATAGAATAAAATATTAAGAC